GTCTTTAGTAGGGTTTTTAAGTATATAAAATTATGGCATCAATAAGCAGTGGCAATTTCACTTTTTTTTTTTTTTTTTTAGTTGGATGCCTTACCTTTCTCTCACCTAGTTACTCTACAAGAACTTCCATTATTATGTTGAACAGTAGTGACAGAATGGCATCCTTGTTCTAGATATTAGAGGAAAGGCTTTTAAATTTTCACCATTGAGTATAAGGTAGCTGTGGTCTTCTCATATATGACCTTTATTTTATTGAGGTACATTCCTTGTATACCTAATTTGGCGAGAGTTTTTATTATAAAATGCTGTTGAATTTTTCAAATGCTTCTTCTGAATCTAATGAGATGATCACATGGTTTTTGTTCTCTAGTCCGTGAATGTGATATATTACGTTTATTAAAGTTTGTGTATGTGGAACCATCCTTGTATCCCACGGATAAATCCCATTTGATCATGGTGGATGATCCTTTGAGCATATTGTTGAATTCAGTTTGCTAGTATTTTGTTGAGTATCTTTGCATCTGTGTTCACCAAAGATCTTGACCTGTAATTTTCTTTTTTTGTAGGGTCCTTGTCTGGCTTTGCTATCAGGGTAATGCTAGCCTAATGAAAAGAGTTTGAAAATATTTTCTCCTCTTCAACTTTTTGGAAGAGTTTGAGAGTTTGAGGAGGATTGGAATTAGTTCTTTAAATGTTTGATATAATAGCACTCAACAGTGAATCCATCAGGTCCTGGGCTTTCATTTGATGGCTTTTAAATTACTGGTTCATTCTTATTCATTATTCCTATTCAGCTTTTTCACTGCCTCAGGATTCAGTCTTGGTAGGTTTTATGTGTCTGGAAGCTTATCCATTTCCTCTGTGCTATTTAACTTGTTGGCATATATTAATAATTGTTCATAGTGTCTCTTACAACCCTTTGTATTTCTGTGATATCCATTGTAATGTCTTTGTTTTACATTCCTGATGTTATTTATTTGAATCTTCTCATTTTTCTTAGTTAAGCTAGCTAAATATTTTCAGTTTTGTGCATCTCTTCAAAAAAAAATTCTAAATTTTGTTAATCTTTTGTATTATTTTCCTAGTCTCTATTTTATTTATTTCTGTTCTAATCTTTATTATTTCCTTCCATAATGTTGTGTATTTTTTGAGATCTTTCTTCTTTCTTAATGTAGGTATTTATTACTATAGCTTTTCTCTTAGAACTGCTTTTGCTCCATCCCATATGTTTTGGTATATGGTATTTACGTTTTCATGTCTCAGTGTATTTTTTAATTTTCCTTTTAATTTTTTTATAGACCCGTTGGTTTTTCAAGAACATGCTGTTTAATTTCCATATATTTGTGAATTTTCCAATATTTCTTATTTTATTGTTTTCTAGTTTTCTACCATTGTGGTCAGAAAAGATACTTGATATGACTTTAACCTTCTTAAATTTGTTGAGGCTTGTTTTTGTGTCCTAATATGTGCCCTAATCTAGAAAATACTCTGTGTGTGCTTGAGAGGAATGTGTATTACGTTGCTGTTGGATAGTGTCGATGCTGATGTATAAGGTCTGTTAGGTTCATTTTGTCTAAAGTATTGTACATGTTTGTTGTCTCCTTATTAATTTTCTGGTTAAATGATCTGTCTGTTGTTGAAAGTGGATATTGAGGTTCCCTACTATTTTTGCCTTACATGTATCTCTCCTTTCAGATCCTTAAATATGTGTTGTATTGAAGTTCGCTACTATTTTTGCCTTACATTATATTTTTCCTTTCAGAACCTTAAATGTTTGTTGTTTTTATTTAGTTGCTCCAATGTTGGGTGCATTTATATTTACAATTGTTTTATTTTCTTGATGACTTGACCCCTTTATCATTATACAGTGTTCTTTGTCTCTTTTTACAGTTTTTGACTTAAAGTCTATTTTGTCTGATATAAGTGTAGCTACTCCTGATCTCTTTTAGTTTCCATTCACATAGAATATGTTTTTCCATTCCTTCACTTTCAGTTTATATGTGTTCTTAAAAGTGAGGTGAGTTTCTTGTTTGCAGCGTATAGTTGGATCTTAAAAAAAAAAATCTATTCATTCCCTCTTTTTGTTGAAGAATTAATCCTTTTACATTCAACATAATTACTGATAGGTAAAGAATTGCTACTGCCACTTTATTAATTGTTTTCTGCTTTTTTAGATACTGTGTTTCTTTCTTCTTCTCTTACTGTCTTCCTTGTGGTTTCATTGTTTTATAGCTGCTGGCTGGGTACTGTGATGGCTTCTAGTCACATCATTCATAGGTTGTATTTCCTGGCCAGACAGTTATGATATTTGGTATCTTAAGTTCAGCAGCACTTCAGGCTGGGCTCCAAGGTTAGGTAGACAGGCAAGATAAGAGGCTATGCTCCTTAGAAATGTGCAGCTGAGGATCACCTTCCTGAGAATGGAGCCATGCGGTTGGCTTTGGCTGAAGTGAGCAGCTGTTTGACCTTCCAGATCAACTGGGACTAACTCTGATGCTTCTCCAAAATGCACTGAGGTAAAAGTTTCCCTGCCTGGGTAGGTCATTGGCAGGCATTTTGGCTGAGTGGAGCCACTGCTTGACTTCCTGGATCAATTAAATCTAGCCTTTATGTTTCTTTAGGATGGGCAAAGGCAGTCATCTACCTGCCTGGGTTGGGTCACTGGGTTGGTCTCTGAGTCTAGGCATGGAATCTAGCTATCTAGGAACTTAAGCTAGACTGAACTTCCCCAAGTGGTTCTGAAGGAGACCAGCTCAGCTTGTTTGGGGCCATGAAGTTGGCTGCTGTTTCCCATAGGATGCCACAGCTGGCAGAAACACAGAGATACCATCAAGGTCCACGTGCTGATCACTGTGACTTCTGCATCCTTTCTTTGTTTCTACCTAAGCTGGTGCAGTCTAGTTGTCCTGGTATCCTCAGTGTTCCCCATGAGAGGAGACTGGAGTGAGCTTTCCTGGGAAGCATCTTGAAATGCTAGGGAAGATGGATGACTGCATCTGGTTCTCTTTCCCCTTATAGAAACCATGGCCCAGGAAAATTCTCTCCATCTGGCTTTGTGTCCTCTTTTGAGGGAGGGGAAGGGGTAGCATAGTCAAAGTGAGATCATTCTTCTTACCCATCCAATTTGATTTTCATTCAGTTCTATGGACCATGTAGGTGTCTCAAGTTTGTTTACAACTATTGGAGCCTTTAGAAAGACATCCTAGTCTGTGGATAATTGCTAGTTGAACTTTAGTGGGAGTAGAGTCTGAGACTTTCTACCCTGCCATCTTGCTGATGTCACTCCTCTAGGCTTTAAGTATTCAGTTCTGGAGGCTAAGAAGGCCACGATCAAGGCACTGGCAAAGTCAACGTCTGGTGAAGACTTGCTTTCTGCTTGTGGCTATGTCCTCACATGGCAGAAGGCAGAAGAGTAGAAAGACCTGATTTTTATATTTTAATTTTTTAATATTTTGGCTTACTTTTTTCTCAACATTTTAACCAGATTTAGTTTTGCCTTGTTTCTTATTTATGTATTTGTTACCATTTTTTCATTGTTTCTTTTATCTCTTTCTTTCTCTCCTTCCTTTTCTTTTCTTTTCTCTTTTCTTTTCTTTTCTTCCTGTCTTTTCTTTCTTTCTTGTCTCTCTCTCTCTCACCCAGGCTGCAGTGCAGTGGCACAATCTCAGCTCACTACAGCCTCAACCTCCTGTGCTCAAGTAATCCTTTTGCCTCAGCCTCTTGAGTAGCTGGGACTACAGCTGTGCACCACCATACCCAGCTAATTTTAGTATTTTTTATACAGACAGAGTTTACCATGTTGCTCAGGTTAGTCTCAAACTCCTGGGCTCAAGTGATTCAACTGCCTTGGCCTCCCAAAGTGGGAATACGGGTGTAAGCCACTGCATTCAGCCTATTCGTTTTACTATGAAGTTCTTAATTTATTCCATAACCTTCTAATCTCCTTTTTTTCTCTTGCCTTTTTTATATTCTTGATTTTGTTTCTGTTCCTTGTCAAATTTTCTTCTTTTTGTTTTTATTCCTAACTTTAAATTTTTATTTAATGGTATGTTTTTATAATGGCAGACAGCAATGGGGAAGAATCCTATTAGGAGAGGAAAGATGACAAACTGAGAGAATTCTCTCCAGATGTGGTTGTGAAGATAAAAGAGGTTTATATTCATGAAAACATATATACTTAAACCACATTACAAAATGTATGTCCATTTCACCATCAACATCTTTACCTCTGTTGGGAAGATAATTCCTTTTGACTCCACAATAATTATTTGTATCTATACACGGGAATGTTTCTTTTATATTTGTGTGGTTTTGGTTTTAAACATTTAATCATAATAAGACTCCTAGAATTACTATATCATGTGCTCTCTGAAGGCAAAATTCGCATCTATTTTATCTTTCTGTTTTATCTTTCTACCTCTAAGAACTAAAACTCAATAAATGTGCATTAAAGCAGATATCCTTGGGAGAAGTGACACAGAAACTATGTATTCATGTTCTATGTCTGTTGTACTTCGCTCAGGGATAAGACTGCTTTGATGAGGGCAAGTGTAGGAAGACCCTGAGGCCATCTGAGAGTAAGTGATGAAGACTTAAGAAGGTGGGACAGGAAACTCAGCAAGAGAGAGTTGTCAGGAAGCAGAAAAGCAGTTGGCAAAAGCAACCACTGAAAGACTGGTTTTACCTCTTAATTCTTCCTGGACTGGGGATAATGTAGAGGGCTTCTCTCTGTCAGATGAACTTTTGCTAGCATTTCCCAGAATCATGACTCAAAACTTGCCACTGTGTTCCCATCTGGGATTTGGAAGATTAGGTAAGAACTTGGAAGGAATTCAGGGGACACTTAGTTAAATTGGGTCAAAATGTGTCCATTCTCCAGCCTCCGTCTTGGCAGTGACACATTGGAAAATGGTTTCACTATGATTGAACAGCCAGGGAAGAGTAGAGCTTATTTATACTCTCTCTTTTCCACTTTATTTTCTCCAAACTGTGTCTTTTAGAAATAAACTATCAATCTTGCCCAGACTGGAGAAAGGACTGCAGCAACAACCCTGTTTCGGTATTCTGGAAAACGGTTTCCCGCAGGGTAAGTACCAAGCAGTGAAATTCTAGAGCTTTGGAGACCACAGAACTTAAGATGTCATCCAGTCAGTGCTTGGTTTTAACACTTTTGGATTACAGATACTTTTAGAAATGAAAATATAGGATTCATTCCTGAGAAAAAGGTTCAGAAGCACATGCCAGAAAATTTACACATCCAATTTTAGAACATTCTTAGAGGGTCCATGGGCTCCAGTTGCAGAATCTTTGTGCGTACACATGGTGTCTGACTTTGGCACAAGCAACCTGGGGCTTGATTTAATCCTCTGATTCGGGTATTAGTCAATCTTAGATTCCTGGGACAGTAGTAACAATCTACATGTATAGACCCCTTACCATGTGGCAGGTACAGTCCTCAGATATTTACATGAACTAAGAACTTGCATCTTCATCAGAACCCTGTGAAGCAGGTGCCGTGAGTATTGTGCCCATTTAACACATAACAACGTGAAGGTACAAGTAAATAAGGAATCTACTAAATGTACAGAATTAGTAAGAGGCATATGTGGGAGTTTATCCCAAGCTGTCTGACTCCAGATTCAGAATCTAGGCTGGGAAATACTCACCACTCCGCCCTCTACCTATTTTTTTAAAAAACTGATACATAATAATTTTACATATTTATGGGGTATGTAGTGATGTGGTGATACATATAAGGTATAGTGATGAGATCAGGGTAATTAACATAGCTATCACCTATGGTGCCTTCTTGCTGTGTCCTCACATGGCAGAGGCAGAGGGACTAAAGGAACCTAGCTAGTTCCCTGGAGCCCTTTCATAAGGGTGTTAATCTCATTCATGAGGACAGAGCCCTTAGGGCCTAATTATCTCCTAAAGGACTCACCATTTATTAGCATCACATTGGTCTTAGGTTTCAACATAAGAAACACTTACATTCAAATCCTAGCAGCGTATCTGTGACAAGCCTTGAAGTGCGTTCCTCTGTCATTCCCATTGAGTCATCCTCATAGGTAGTGTGACAAATCCCCACATTAAAGGTGAAGAAACTAAGACTCAGAAGTTAAGTGACTCATCCAAGTTCCCTGGGCTAATAAGTTGCGGACCCAAGAGCCTAACCTAGGTCTTCTTGATTCCAAAGCCATGCTCTTCAATTTTGTTCTTTGAATCTGCTTATTGGTTCTATCTTTTACAGGACAGGTTTGATCTTAACTCTAGGTTGGTACCTAGCTAAACCTGTGTCTTAGGGGGATTTATGTAAACCCTGGTATGATGGAAACAGAAAAACAGCCTGGAAGTTGTAAGGTTTAGACTTGGGCAGATTCCTTTACTCATTCTGATCTTCTGATTCCTCATTTGTCAAATGGAAATCAAAATTTGCCTGTTCCATAGGGTTACTGCAATATTTAAATGAGATACCACTATCCTATAATGTAACTCAAAATCCACCCACTTCGAAAATAATTTATTGAGTACTTACTATGGACAGTGGACAGTCATGGGTACTTTATAGTTTTTGTTTGTTTGGTTTTTCTGAGAATAGTTTCCATTTCACTACTCTATGGTATGTTTTAGGACAGTGCTGGTGCTAAAATCTTTTAAAGCCAAGTCACATTTTATGTGTATCAAGAACCTCCTTGTGTTCCCCACTCAGTCCCTGGTACTAGGAATACAGAGTTGCATGTGATTGAAGGCATCCTGCCCTTGTGAGCTACCAGCACCTTTATTTTGCCAATCACTCATGGACATATGTGGATGGCCGCCTTTTTTCAGACTTGTCCCTTTCTTTTTCTGATAACAGAGGCAGGGTTTTTTTTAATTTTTAATTTTTGTGGGTAGGTTAAACCCATCATTATAATATAATACAGTTGGATAATGTGGAGGGAATGTAGGATGCTGTCAGAGTCAGAGAAGGGGACCTGAGCTAGTCCCAGGGGTTGGGGAGGCCTCCTGGAGGGAGCATATAGAACACTTTATTTTGTTCATTTCATTTTTTCCAAAGTCTAACAAAGATTCCTGCTGAATGTTTCTTGCATGAAGAAATAAGACTCTTTGCTCAAGCATATTTATTCATTCATTTATTCAGCCCTCCTTTCTCTCTGTGCTTTTCTTTTCTTTTCTTTTTTTTTTTTTTTTTTTTGAGACAGAGTCTCGCTCTGTCACCCAGGCTGGAGTGCAGTGGCCGGATCTCAGCTCACTACAAGCTCTGCCTCCCAGGTTTACGCCATTCTCCTGCCTCAGCCTCCCAAATAGCTGGGACTACAGGCGCCCGCCACCTCGCCTGGCTAGTTTTTTGTATTTTTAGTAGAGACGGGGTTTCACCATGTTAGCCAGGCTGGTCTCGATCTCCTGACCTCGTGATCCTCCTGTCTCAGCCTCCCAAAGTGCTGGGATTACAGGCTTGAGCCACCGTGCCCGGCCCTCTCTGTGCTTTTCTAGGCCTGAGGGTCCCCTGTTCTCTCCTCAGTTTCCCCTTTTGTGGTGTTCCCATTTCCCTTATCCCTGAATCATCCACCTGCTTCCACTAAATGAAGCATAGTGTCCGCAGTGCATGACACTGAGAAAACACTTTCATCTTCCCCCTCTAGACATTCCTCTTATTCATTTGGACTTCTGACTTCTGAACCACTGAACCACCAGCTCTATGAACTATCACACTGAACATTGTTCACTTACAGATTGGAGCAACTGCTTCAAGAACTCTGATATGAAGCATAATCTGTCCAGTGGCTTGGAATGAAAATTGTGTAGACCTGACATTCCTGTGCTAAAACCATATAGAATATCCTTCCTTAACCAGCTATTGCTAAGTATTGTTTTGAATGAAACTGCTGGAGGTTTGTGATTAAGTTTGCATGATGAATGGTGAGCTTTTTTTTTTTAAGTTTGCAGAAACTGCCTGTGGTGTGGTCCATGTGATGCTCAATGGATCCCGCAGTAAAATCTTTGACAAAAACAGGTAACACATTTATTTTGCATCTTGTTTGCAAGTATCATGCTGCAAATATCACAGTGGATATTTTATCTCTAGAAAGAATATGCTTTTCATGTTTCAGGTCAGTTCTGAAGATTTGGGCTAAAAAAGGTAAAAATTTTTGGAGAGAGTTGTCTTCTAAGTCAATGTGTTTGTCTGATTTCTCCTTTGCCAAAAATCATCTACCAGGTTCTAATGACCACTGCACTATATCTAGCCCCTGCTCTTAACTTTTCCGGTCCTGGTGTAATTTTCTCAGCTTTCTCTGCCATTACACTCCACCCTACCTGTTGCTCACCACTGTTCACACAGTTCCCCCATATGACCTACTTCCCCTGCTCCCTTCTGTCTAAATCCTCGCCATCCATGAAGACCTGCCTTGACTCTCCTCTCCTCAAGGAAAATTGTGTACCCCAGTTCAGTAGTAAAACTACTACTGGGAAATCGGGAACTGTGCTGGGCTCTTGGCCTTCACTATCTTTTTGCAGACATTGTCAGCAATGTACTGTAGTGGTTAAAAGCAATTACTGGAGGTCATTACATATTATCTGTGTGACCTTAAGCAGGGCAGTCAACCTCTGCGAGCCCCTGTATATGTACCTGAAGAGTTGATGGTGATGGGAAGATTAACTGAGACAACAGATGAAAATTGCTGAGCTCTGTGCCTGACAACAGAGGAAGTGCTCAATGTGAATCAGCTATTATTCTCATTTGAAAATGATCCTCACCACTGAATCTGGCCACAGCTGTGCCTTTCTTGTCTGATCTCCTTCTATACTTAAGTTTTTACTACACTGATTGCCTTTTTGGCCTTTGTTCTCTAATTTTTGTTCTCTAATCCCACCTAAGGCTGACTGAAAGGAGGAAGAATATATTAATTTGCCTTCTAAACTCTAGGTGCCCCAAATTAATTTTTCTTCTCTCCTGTTTTAATATTTAATTCTACAAGGAAGCATTTGTCCTTTTGTCTTCTGATCCCAAATTATTTGGGTAAAAGCATTAACATTGCAGAATTTTATAATCTGATGTTATGGTTCAAATACTTGCAACAGGAGTGTCAGTTGTCAGAGACTAACAGGGAAGAGTTTAGGAATGGGATTAGGGCAGGCCACAATAGTCTTTCAAAGCATTGCCTCTCAAACTTCACTGAGCATATGAATCATGTGGGGATTGTTTAACTGCAGATCATTTCAGCAGGTGGTGGTGGCTGAAATACTACATTTCTTTCTTTCTTTTTTTTTCTTTTGAGACAGAGTCTCGCTCTGTCGCCCAGGCTGGAGTGCAGTGGTGTGACCTCGGCTCACTGCAAGCTCCACCTCCCAGGTTCATGCCATTCTCCTGCCTCAGCCTCCCTCAGCTGGGACTACAGGCACCCACCACCACGCCCAGCTAATTTTTTTGTATTTTTAGTAGAGACAGGGTTTCACCCTGTGTTAGCCAGGGTGGTCTCGATCTCCTGACCTCATGATCTGCCTGCCTTGGCCTCCCAAATTGCTGGGATTACAGGTGTGCGCCACCGCGCCTGGCCGAAATTCTACAGTTCTAATGAGATCCCAGGTGATGTTCATTAGGTCGGTCTAAGGACCACTCTTTGAATAGCAGATATTTAAAGAATCAACATTAATGCACAACTTAAGAATTTTATTTTGAGAATCTTGTTAACCAAGGGTCATGCTGAATAAGAAAAGGTTATTGATTTGCAATTTGATGCGTCAACTCCAAAGGATAGGTCCTAGCCAGTGCCTTTCTGCCTGCTGGTTTTTAAGTGGGGGCATGGATGCTTTTGTTTGGGGTTGACGTTTGTGGTTGTTTCTTCTGTTTTAGCACTTTTGGGAGTGTGGAAGTCCATAATTTGCAACCAGAGAAGGTTCAGGCACTAGAGGCCTGGGTGATACATGGTGGAAGAGAAGATTCCAGGTATATCTTACTACTTTGTACCCAAGGGTTATTTTATGAATCAGTCCACAAAAGAATCCACAGTCACAAGAATGCATTGGGAACAAACTGACTCAGGAAATGAATGTACATGAATCTCAACAGCCTCTTAACTTTATCTCCACAAACGATATTTAACTGCTTGACATTTCAGCTCCCCTGCTGACCCAGGAGCTCTTAGAGGCTGGGCCTTTACTCTGCCTCTTTATCCAAGGGCCTTGTCCAGGGCCTGCTACAGAAACAGAGAGACTCCAAAAATGTTTGTGAGATCTTGTAATTTTAATACTTTCTTCTTTCTTCCCCAGAGACTTATGCCAGGATCCCACCATAAAAGAGCTGGAATCGATTATAAGCAAAAGGAATATTAGATTTTTCTGCAAGAATATCTACAGGTAATGAATTTCTTCTTGAATGAAAAAACGACTGTCTTGTCAACTGTAGAATGTCCTTTATTCCTCAGCCTCCTCTGAGCTTGGAGGGCTGTGTGAATCTTTCTTGGGCCTTGATGATGATCACAGATGGCAACCTCTGGTGATCTCTGTCCCTCCTTCCAAGCCTAGTCCAGAAGGTATCCTAGCTAGCGGCCTTCACTTGGCCGCCTTTCCTCATCCGTCTCTACTGGTCCCAAGTAGGACTTGCCTCTAAGGCTGATAGCACCTTTGACGGCATATTTTCTGATTCCCAGTGTGAGTGGCCCAGCCCAGGGTTCACTGGCCTACTAAGTTTCAGGGGAGAAAGGGAATGTTTTGCTAAGCCCTTTCTTCCAAGTTGTAAAATGCTTGTGATTTGACATCATTTTGCATGTGACGCTTCCTTAGTTGGATCTGAGCACAGATGCCTAACACCTGATAAGGTGTCACATGGCAGTCTACCAAGATCTATCTTTTTTAAATTAAAAAAAATTTTAAAAATTGTTTCTAATAATTTGCATTTATTAGAAAACAGTTTAAAATTACAGATAGATATATATTTCTAAAAGTCACCTATAATTCTAGTTTCAAAACTGAGACCCCTCACTCACTTTTAAGCAGTTGTGACCAATGGTGTAGGTAGGGACTCATTGGTAGAAGCATCTTTGGAGATTTTCCCACATGTAATAGCTTGGAACAAGATTGATGCAGAGAGAGGAAAAGCTGTTCAAAGGAGGTAGAAGCTGAGATGCTAGAATATTGTTCCTGTCTCCATGTCACTACCTTCTCCCACTAACCATATCAAAAAAGCAGAAGGATAGAGTCTGGGGACTCTACTGATGGCTTTTGTTTCCCACATGACCGGAATTCCCCATCAGTCAGCTTGCTTCTATCTGGAAACTGCCAGAAAAGGCCATGAGCAATCTACAGCAGTTACACAGGAAAACAGAAAGAATGAATGAAGGAGCAAGTGTAAAAGAAATTTTGCAGATATCTGACCAGTCTAAGCTGTTCAAAGATATGTTGCATGGAGAAAATAGAATAGTAGAAACCTAGACAAAGGCTGGAAAATAAAGATGGTCTTATCCCCAATACTCTTTTATCTTTTTTGTCTTATTAAACATTAACCTTTTTCTCATAAATGCCCAGAAGACTTTTATATTATAATTCATCAACTCCCCTCTTTTGTGTCTGCTGTAGGCTCCAAGTGAGCTCACTCATTCTCCATCTGGAAAGAAAATATGGGCATGGCTTCCATTTGGACTTGTACAGACAGTGGCCCATATGGGAACCAGGTCATTTATAAGCCAACACTTGTTATTCAGAGCATCAGATCATGTGACTTTAAACTTGGGGATCATCTTTGAAATCACTGCTCCTTTTCTCTGACCATGAAGTTGTAATATAGTCAGTATGACTCTTTGAATGACTGGACTGGCAGGACCCCTTGTGGTGTCTAACTGCCGTGTGGCTTTGAAGAACAGTTGTTTGTCTCTAGGGGAGCCCAGGGTGAATGTCATGGATACAGACATAGATTGTAGTTTAAATCTCTCCATCCCAAGCACACCTTCTAATTTTAGCAAACTTCTGTCTAGCTGTTTTGGTGTGATTATTTAATAATTAAACAGAAGTATAATTAAATATATATGTATATATATTATATATGTATATAATATATGTGTATATATTATATACGTATATAATATATGTGTGTATATATTATATATGTATATATGTGTGTATATATTATATATGTATATATATTATATATGTGTGTATATATTTTATATATATATAAAGACCTATACAGGTTAGACTTCCTAATGGCTCTAATATTGACCCCTTAATAAATTTCATCACTCAGAGACAAACACTATTAACATGTATATTTCCAAGACTCTTTTTTTTTAAATATACACACTCATGGTCCTGATACGATGTATATGGAATTTCTTAACACATGTTTATATGTTTTAACCAGTGGAATGAACAGAAGGTAACAATACTTTTTGTGGATATCATAAAATTAGCAAACGGTCAGCGTGCTTTATCTGGCTAGTGCCCTCTAGTGGTGCTTAAAAAAAACCCTAGAGGGTACATTAATTCTTTTATGTTGCTTCAAAACACAGGGCACGTCCATTTTATGGGGATATTGGATATGAATACTTACATGGTCATGGAGAGAGATCATCTTGACAGCATAATTGCTACTTCTTTTCCAAAATTGAATTCCCAATTAGAAACTAGAATTAATAAACATACTCACATTCTCCTCATTTAATATAAAGCAAAGGTAGCTTCAAAAATCCTAAATAGTCTTTGAAAGATTTCTTTTCTATAGCAGCATTTCCTTAATAAAGAGGATACTTTGTGTTCCTAGGATGTCTTCATGTGGGGATCCCAGGTTACCGTATTGGTGAGGATGGAGTAAGTCTATACTTAGAGCTGCTGTGTCCAGCTGGTCATGACAGTTGACTAGGGATGGGCCTGAGGTGATCCATCACAAGGGCAGGTTCTGACACCTCTTCCTTCCAGAAGCCCAGGGGTGCTGGCAGCTGCTTCTGAGGATCTCTCTCTTCCTTGGCTCATATTTAGCAAAATCAAGTTTAAAGAATCTCATTCCTCACTATCCACCATCCCCCGATTCACGTGCCAGCCACTCCCATTGGCTCCTGTTGCTTTAGCTAATTTTTATGCAAATAAGAGTCATTCGCCTGGTAGGTACTTATCTAAGGTTTGTTTCAAAGCAAGTTTGGTCCCCTTGCTGAGGGTCTCCAGCTTTTTCCCAGATAGTCTATAACCTCTGCCTCTGACCCTGGGTTCAATACTCAGCCTCAGGAAGCTTCTGAAGAGAGGAAAGCAAATTAGCCACAGAAGCTGTGGGGGTCCCTGGCCTTGGTTGCTGCTCCTGCTGTTTTTTGACCACAAGCTGACATGGACAGCTCCCCTCCTGACACGTCACTGCAGGAGAGGAGTTTGTATGGATGCTCAGTGGTCTGTGCATCTTGTCGTCGCTAAAAAAGGGGCTTCCTTCATTAGCGAATTGGACCACAGATGTATCCTATGGCCTCTTGATTTCCTTCTTTGCTTTCTTGTCACAGACCTGACAAGTTTCTTCAGTGTGTGAAAAATCCTGAGGATTCTTCTTGCCTATCTGGGATCTGAGCCAGTTGCCATGGTGGTTTTAGCTCCTTGACTCCTTGTGGTTTATGTCAACAATACATGACTTGGCCTACTTGCTGGTGCAGAGCTGAAGATTTTGGAGGGTCCTCCACAATAAGGTCAATGCCAGAGATGGAAGCCTTTTTCCCCAAAGTCTTAAAATAACTTGTATCATCAGCATAGCTTTTATTGTGATCTATCAATCGTCAAGACAAATTATTGTATAAGATTAGAATGAAAATTGTGTATTAAGTTACTTCATTTGATTCTCATGTGATCCTTTTATGTTGTTTATATGTTGGTAACATCCTTTCTACTGAAAAATGACCACACCAAACCTCTCTTACTAGAACAGTCAAGTGAAGAATAACGAATGCTCAAGTTTTTCAGAAAGCATTACATTTCCAAATGAATGACCTTGTTGCATGATGTATTTTTGTACCCTTCCTACAGATAGTCCAACCATAGACTTCATGGCCATGGGTGATGTTGGTGAAAATTACTCTGTAGGATATAAGCTACCCATATACTTGGTGCTTTACCTCTAACCCTTCCAACAGTGCTGTGAGGTTGGTATTATTGAATTTTTTAGATGAGAAAATAGGAACTCAGAGAGGTTATATATTTAAGTTGGTGCAAAAGTAATTGCAAGTTTTGCCATTGGAAGGAATGGCAAAACCACAATTACTTTTGCACCAACCTAATAATTTGCTGTAAGTCCTACATTTAGTATCAGGCTAGAGACTGAATCTGAACTCAACTCTGTCCAACTCCAAAATTCATGTGCTTTTTCCTTCTAGGCCTTTCATACCAAACTAATAGTAGTTTCTATTCTCTTCCAACAAATGCATGTTGGATTAAATTGACTAGAATGGAATCTGGAATGTAATTCTTCTGGATGGCTCCAAAACACGTTTTTCTTCCCCTGTCGTCCTCCTCCTCTTCATGCTCAGTGTTTTATATATGTAGTATACAGTTAAAATATGCTTGTTCCTGATACTGGTAGCTTATGTTTTCTCTCTTTTTTCATGGATTAACCTTGCTTGAGGGCTTTAACAATTGTATTACTTTTTCAAAGAACCAAGCTTTAGCTTCATTGATTTTTTTCTATTTAATTGGGTTTTGCTCTCCCTTTATCATTGGAAACATAGAAATGCTTTCTAATTTCTTTGGGTAGATTTACTTATTCAGCTTCTTGAGATGGAAGTTTAGATCATTGATCCTGCAGCTTGTTTTCTTTTTGTATACATAGATTTTAGGACGATACATTTTCCTTTGAGCTCTGCTTTAGCTGCAGCTCTTATGTTTTGATATGCCTCTCTTTATTATCCTTCAGTTAAAAATATCTTTCAGTGCATTGTTATATAGAAATATGTGCTTAGTTTTTAACATCTGGAGATTTTCTAGTTTTGAAAAAACAAGCCAGGCATGGTGGCTCACACCTGTATCCCCAGCATTTTGGGAGGCCTAGGCAGGAGGATAGCCTGAACCTAGGAGTTTTTACACCAGCCTGAGCAAAACAGTAAGACATTATTTCTTTAAAAAAATTACCTGACTATGGTGTTGTGCACCTGTAGTCCCAGCTACTCCAGAGCCTGAGGTGGGAGGATTGCTTGAGCTTGGGAGGTTGAGGCTGCAGTGAGCTGTGATCACACCACTGCACTCCGGCCTGGGTGACAGAGTGAGACCCTGTCTCAAAAAAAACAAAAATAAATAAAATAAACCATATGTGTGGAATAAAGAATTAATAAGTTAATTTGAGACTCCTTTGGGGAATGACCACAATTTATTGAACATAGCCTAAATGTTGGAGTCAGGCATTTCTGGATTCATATTTTGACATCATGCTGTCATCTTGACCAAAATACCTAAACTTTCTGACCTTCAGCTTCCTTGCCACTCAAATAAGGATTACAAAACTTTCCCCTGTTAAAATGTGGTAAGTACTAAAGATGACAGCAAAAATGGAGTCCAGCACAGAGCTTCCTAAATAAGCAAGCACTCAACAGTGCTGCTTCCTTTCTACCTCCCCTGCTTGACAATCCAGTTTCCCACAGGAGCCTTTGTAGCTGTAGCCACCATGATCGGTCCAGGGATTCTTCAATAGCCCCTTCTCCCCTTGCAGACATCCTCGTGGGAGTTTAGTCTCGGCTCGACATGAGGATAGGAGTTTGGGACCAGTTCTGAGTGACATTCAGACTTGCCCAAAGTTGCCATTAGCTCCCCCTGCAGAATGTCTTCAGAAATGGGGCCTGGTCAGTCTACCTGGTGACCTGGCAGTTTTCCTCTTAAGACCCTTTCCACTTTGGTTGCTGCTTTCTGGGCTCATCGTGTCCTTGCTCAACAGGATACCCCTTGAAGTGGCTGCCTGGGTCACATCCCCTTCCAAACAAGAAATGGAAATATTAGAAATCAATTTTTGAAATTTCCCCTAAGGAGACTCATTTGAGTGTTCAAGTTCAGAGCCAGTGGAGACCTTAGGGGAGGCTGGTCACAAGGTTTTTGCACCGTGCTGTAGAGGGCCCCAGGGAGCTACAGAGGTGGTGAGGGGCTGGGTGCTCTTTTCTCCGTGCAGGACCTTGTATGTCTATCTTCATTATCATGATGCCTCATCTCTACCTCCTTTCCCCCTGTAGTTCCAACGTGGGTATCTTTGCCATCTCTGACCCGAAGGACTTTCTGACCTACATGTATAAATACCCCCTCACAATATGTATTACTCTTCTTATAAGTGACTTCTCCACTGGATTACTGGTTGCTCATACACCTATTTTACTTGTAAATCTACTACTCGCTGTCTCCCTACTCCATTCTCATTTGCTGTAGAAAATTCTGTTACCATCCTAACTTTCACCCACCATCATGCTTACCCAAAGGCTGTGGGAATGACCTGGGCCCTAATGCCCCTTTTCTAAGTTCCTAAGGCTCACCGTTTTCCTATTGTAATGGTTCTTGACCTTATAATGTTTGAGGCATATTTTCAAATATCATCCTTTGATTTCAGATGGAATACTTGAAAAGACACACACACACACACACATAAGTGCATATGACTGTATATACACACATACACACACGTGCCTGTATACAGCCGTATGATATATATACAAACACGCACACACATGCCTGTATACATCTTCTGTCACTTAACAATGGGAATATGTTCTGAGAAATGCATCATTAGATGATTTTGTCATTATGTGAACATCATAAGAGTGTACTTATACAAACCTAGATGGTATAGCCTACTACACACCCAGGCTACATGGTGTCACCTATTGCTTCTAGGTTACAAACCTATACAGCATGTGACTGTACTAAATACTGTGGGCAATTTTAACCCAATGGTAAATGTTTGTGTATCTAAACATAGAAAAGGTACAGTAAACATGCAGTATTATAATCTTATGAGACCATCATCATATATGTGGTCCATCATTTGGTCCATCATTGGCTGAAAAGTGGTTATGCGGCACATGACTGTATATATACTTTCCTGTTACAAAAACAGTGTCTCTCAATCCACAGTAATTGCAGTATTCAGTAGGTCTACTTTAGCCCTGAGTCATCATTTGTGTCAAAGTGTTTAGTGCCATGTCCAGGTCTCTCATGTAACTGGAAGAGCTATCAAATATTTTGGCAAAACACATTGTTTCTTTGGCTTTGTCTTGGCAACTTTCTGTGCCTTTTGTAGCTCTTGTCTGGAAGAAGCTCAACCCTTGTCTGCACACTGTGATACAAGGGGGACAGCCTCGACTTACTTCTTGGTGCCTTAGTCCTCCTTAGAACAATTCCTAAATCTGTAACTTAAGTTTCTCAGGAAGATTCCATACTGCACAGAAAAACTGCTTTTGTGGGTTTTTAAAAGGCAAGTCGTTATATGTGCTGGATAATTTTTATGTATGACAGATAAAAATTGTATAAAGTAAAATATTAAAGTACACCTAGAATACTGTATAACTTTGGGTCATTTTATCAACACATTGCTAATCCAGATATTTTCCCACAGTTTTTCTTAGAATAACAAAGCAATTAATTTACTTATACTATGAAGGTCATCATTTTAATATATATTTTAAGCAATCCACCAAGAACTCAGTAGGCAGCTGAGAGGTGCTGCCCAGAGAGGTGGTGATTAGCTTAGCCTTAGCTCACACACAAAAGCACAACAGACTTTGGACTATCCCCTAACAGGGCATTTACTCTTGAACTTGATTCAGAGAGGCACACATTACCATTCTCTAATCAGAATGCAAGTAGCATAAGGCAGTGGAAACTATGGAATTAAGAGGCAGGTGATGCATTGGGCAAGTTTATTAACATCTGTGACTCTTTAGTTTGAAATATATTTGTAACAGACAAAAATGAATTATACAAACAATAAAGAGCCATGTTGAATAATTCTTTTAAAAGGAGTTGTCTGCAGACTTGAAAGAATTAAGGGACATATTCAGTGGGTGGCACACTGCTGAAGACAACAGGACTTCCCACCTACTGCACCCCACGATTGAGTGAGTTAGGTAGCTGGGGAAAGGATGGGTCACTGTCCTGGTGTGTCTCACTGGTGGAATAAGTGGAAATAGATGCCAACAAGAGTCCAGTGCTGCTGTCTACAAAGACCTGAAAGTCCTTACTCACACCTCTTTATTCTTCAACACATTGAAGAAGAATGTTGTTTGCTTTTCAGTAGGAGTCTCACATTCGAGAATCACATGACACATCTTTTATTCTCTATGAAAGAGACTCACCTTGAGATCTCGCAGGATTTAACATAATGACAACAAAATGTGTGATTCTTTTTTTTCAAACTTTTATTTTAAGTTCAGGCATACAGGTGCAGGCTTGTTACATAGGTAAACTTGTGTCATGGGGGTTTGTCATACAGATTATTTCATCACCCAGGTATTAAGCCTAGTACCCATTAGTTATTTTTCCTGATCCTCCCCCTCCTCACACCCTCCATCCTCAAATAAGCCCCAGTGCTTGTTGTTCCTCGCAGTGTGTCCAAGTGTTCTCATCATTTAGTGCCCACGTATAAGTGAGAACATGAGGAATCTGGTTTTCTGTTCCTGTGTTAGTTTGCTAAGGATAACGGCCTTCAGCCCCATCCATGTCCCTGCAAAGGACATGATCTTGTGTGTGATTCTTAATAAGTGACATAAACATGAAACAACACTTAAAAGACTTGATGCAAAAGACCTGGCGGGGTGGCTTGTGCCTGTCATCCCAACATTTTGGGAGATCGAGAAGGGAGGATTGCTTGAGCCCAGGAGTTTGAGACCAGCCGGGGCAACCTGTTGAGATCTCATCTCTGAAAAAAACTAAACAAAAATTAACCAGGCATGGTGGCATATTCCTGTATTCCCAACTACCTGCGAGGCTGAGGTGAGAGGATTGCTTGAGCCCAGGAGGTCAAGGCTGAGGTGAGAGGATTGCCTGAGCCCAGGAGGTCAAGGCTGCAGTGAGCTGACATTGTACGACTGCACTCCAGCCTGGACAATAGATATTTAGATGCTGTCTCAAAACAAACGAACAAAACAAAAACAAAACAAAAAAACTTGATGCAAAATGCCAACCTGCAGAAAAGAGAAAACCAATGTTTATTGTAAAAGGCACTTCACACATTGTATCAGCCGGTGATCTCAGCTGTAACAACAGAGCATCACTCTGGCTGTGTATTAGGGTTCTCTAGAGGGACAGAGCTAAAGATAGATGTATATATGAAAGGGAGTTTATTAAGGTGTATTGACTCACATGATCACAAGGTGAAGTCCCACAACAGGCTGTCTGCAAGCTGAGGAGCAAGGAAACCAGTCCGAGTCCCAAAATCTCAAAAGTAGGGAAGCCAACAGTGCAGCCTTCAGTCTGTGGCCAAAGGCCTGAGAGCCCCTGGCAATCCACTCGTGTAAGTCCATGAGTCCAAAAGCTGAAGAATTTGAAGCCCGATGTTCGGGGGCAGGAAGCATCCGGCATGGGAGAAAGACGGAAACCAGAAGACTCAGCCAGTCTAGTCCTCCCACGTTCTTCTGCCTGCTTTTATCCTAGCTGCACTGATAGCTGATTAGATGGTGCTCAATCTAAGCTGATTAGATTGAGGGTGGGTCTGCCTCTGCCAGTCCACTGACTCAAATGTTAATCTCCTTGGGCAATACCCTCACAGATGCACCCAGGAGCAATACTTTGCATCCTTCAGTCCAATCAAGTTGACACTCAATATTAACCATCACAGAAGGAAAGTGAATTTTCTAAAATATATCAAGAGCTTATAGATTGTCTAGGAGGGTGAGAAAATAGTTTAGAAGCCACTTAGTCAAGAACAACACTCCAAATTACTCCACTGGCTTGTCAGGTAGAAAAGTTGCCACTTGCCCTGCGGACACTTGGCTGTCACTCTATCATGGCCAGAACACAGACGTGGCTATTTCTGGGAATAGAAGTAACCAAAGAGAATGGTGGATGGTGCATGACGCCTGCTTTCCTTCCTCACCAGCCACAGATTCATGGTTGCACAGATATGTTCAATGTGTAGGGCCTGATACAGGTAAAATGCTTAGGACAGAGCTCAGTTTCTCTGTCTGTAAAAGGGGAGTGATAAGACTGTCTATCATTTTGGGTTGTTTTGAGCATTGAGTAAGGTGATATGCGCAAAATTCTTAGGATAATGCTTAATACGCATGAAGAACTGTATCAATGTTAGGTTTTTAATTTTTTAATTTTAATTTTAATTTTTTATTTTTTGAGCCTGTTTTTATTCTGGAGGAAATTCCTTGACAAGCCTACCTAGTTTAGATGCTGAGACTGTGAGACCTTGGGGACAATGGAGAAGAGGGTAGAGAATGGCTCTCTTGCCAACCAACAGGATCAGCTATAGTCTGTCACAAGCTTTGAATCATCCTAGATGGTTAGAACTTTCCCACCTAAGAGAGAAATGGGCCAGATACCTTTAACTAAGAGCTGGCCCATCCCAAGCTGGAGGCTGACAAAATGCAGCAATAGACTCCACTGCTCCCAAATCTAAGAAGTTCACATGTATAAATTTCATCCTTCAAGCTGATCAAGAGTTCAACAGCCTCCTTTAGCATTGCCAGTTCAAGCCCCTGCTCTCCTAACCAGGTACTTACTGCTCTGATGATGCTTAAGGCCTGCAGCCTTCCTTGGTGCAAAGAAGCCAGAAGACAAGATGTGCTGAGAATAGAAATTTCCTCCCTGTGGAATCAGTGAACTGAAAGGACATTGAGAAAGCAGGAGAGCTAAGAAGAAATGGGACAGCTAACTCTGACCTTCTGCACAAGAACAAATCCCCTGTTGTGAATAATATTTAATAATTGGTTCAGTTTTCCCAGTCTTGTCTTCCAGAGAATTTTCCTGCACTGGTAGAATAATCAGATACAAGCTGAAGGGAAAGACACCGTGTGGGAGCTGCTGCTAAGTCCCAGATTCTTCTTAGACACTCAGAATTTGATGACTTTGGCGCTGGGCCACGGAAGTCATGAGCTTCTCCAGGCACAGCTTGTTTGGCCTGGTGATGTGAGAGGAAGGAAGCAAGGTGGATCTCATCAGGTGTCCTTCCTGCTGTCAGCCTTTTAGAACACGGGTGACTCTGTGCTATCAGATGGGATTATTTTTAAAATGTGTGTTTTTTTGTTGTTGTTTTTTTGTTTTGTTTTATTTTGTTTTGTTTTGAGATGGAGTCTCACGCTGTAGCCAGGCTGGAGTGCGGTGACATAGTCTCGGCTCACTGCAACCTCCGCCTCCCAGGCTGGAGTGCGGTGACATGGTCTCGGCTCACTGCAACCTCCGCCTCCCAAGTTCTGGCAATTCTCCTGCCTCAGCCTCCTGAGGAGCTGGGACTACAGGCATGCACCACCACGTCCAGCTAATTTTTGTATTTTTAGTAGAGACAAGGTTTCACCACATTGGCCAGGATGGTCTCTATCTCCTGACCTTATGATCCGCCCACCTTGGCCTTCCAAAGTGCTGGGATTACAGGCGTGTGCCACCACACCTGGCCTCTTGTTTTTCAAGTGTCACTCGTGACCATTAACATGTCAAATACTTTCACAGTAAAAGTAACAAAATAGACATTTCTGTAATAATTTATTACAGAATCATGAAAGAATCATGGAACATGATGGTGGCAGATCAGTGGCTCATCTACTTTACTTGACAAGTGAAGATACTAAGTCCTTCTTCTGGGGTTGTGGAGGGTATGTGTTGAGTTGTGAGCAATAGTTTAGGAGTCAAGGTTTTCTCCTTCCATGTCTTTCTTTCCTATCAAAAAGCCTAAGAATTCACAAACAGGTGTGGTGGAGATTGCTAACTGTTGCATAGTATCTGTTCTTTTTTAAAAAAACTAAACAGTATTTCCCCATCTGCCATTTTTAATCAGGGCATGACTTCACAGCTAGAGAACAGATCCCAGCTCTGCAGCTGGCTCTGACCAATAGGGTGTGAAAGGACATGATTAATTCAATTGCCCAGTCACTTTGAAAACACTCACTTGCTCTAAATTTTCATTTTATTTTTATCATACTTTAAGTTCTAGGGTACGTGTGCATAACGTGCAGGTTTGTTACGTATGTACACATGTGCCATGTTGGTGTGCTGCACCCATTAACTCGTGATTTACATTAGGTATATCTCCTAATGCTATCCCTCCCCCTCCCCCTACCCCACGACAGGCCCCGGTGTGTGATGTTCCCCATCCTGTGTCCAAGTGTTCTCTTTGTTCAGTTCCCATCTATGAGTGAGAACATGCAGCGTTCGATTTTCTTTCCTTGTGATAGTTTGCTGAGAATGATGGTTTCCAGCTTCATCCATGTCCCTACAAAGGACATGAACTCATCCTTTTTTTTTTTATGGCTGCATAGTATTCCATGGTGTATATGTGCCACATTTTCTTAATCCAGTCTATCATTGATGGACTAAATTTTCATTTTTATCTCCTTTCCTTTGCGGAAAAACAATGAAATTTCAGCAGCAGCCTTGGACTTAGAAAATGGAAACCATAAGCAGAGGGTACCAAGCTCTAGAGAAAGACACTTCTCTCTTCCTCTCTTCATCTGATCAGTTTCACCCAGAATCTCATTTCCATGATGGCTAGACCTGGTCTTTTTGTTCCTTGCTTTATCTGCAATCCCAGACACATAGCAGAAACTCAGTCAGTATTTGCTCTTAGAGCTCTTGTCTCCATAATGCCCTCTTTGATCCTCACCTCTTAGCTCAGTTTCTTCGTCCAGACTTGGCTTTGCTGGCCACTTTAGCCTCACTATTAAATAATTGACCTATTGATTTTTTGATCACTTTTCTAGGTGCAAGGTGCTGATGATAGAGTATTAACAGAAATCGACATGGGCTATGCTGTGGAGCAGATGGCCCACTCCCT